CAGCCAGGAGTCATCAGTCACTATGACAGCTAGTCACAATTAGTCAGCCAGTCAAGCCAGTCCAGAGGATGCTGTCTCCCGGACAGACTCAGTTACACTGTCACAGCCCTCCGGTCAGACTCAGCCACTCACACCACGAGTTACCCAGCTGTTTGCTGACCAGACAGTCCATCTCTGTCATTCTCCTGCAGTCAAGGCAGACAGTCAGTTTTCAAGACTTAGGCACTGAGAAATCCCTCAGTCAGTTGGACGTATCAGTTTCCATGACAGTCACAGGCAGCCATAGTCGTGGCCTGGCCAGCCAAGCCACAAGGAAACACCAGCCAACCAGCCAGTCGATCGCAAAGATTCAGACATGTGGCCAAGACAGTCAGTCAAGACTCAGGGGTCCCAGTCACACATGCAGTCAGGCAGCCCCTCAGGAAGGGGCAGCCAGTCCCCCAGCCATCTCGTCAGTCAGTCACAGTGGTCAGTCAGCCAGTCAAGACCATCACTGAAGGCTACCAGTCGGGGTCATTGTCAGTCAGCCAGTCACAGGTACAGGGACTCAGTCAGTCACAATAGCCAGTCACCGTAAGTTGCCCAGGTATCCAGTCAATTTGGACTGGTCAGGCAATGAGGCCGTCACCCTCCATCAAACCTGTTGTCATTGCACAGCCAGCAAGCCAGTCAGTGGTCAGCCAGTCACCTCACCAGTTAGGTTTAGTCCATCAGCCCAGCTACAGTTGGCCCAGTCAGATTGTGGGAGCCATAGTCTGTGGCCTGGGCAGTCCCAGTCACAGACAGCTATGGTGAAACAGCCGGTCAGTGGCCATCAGCTGGTCAGTGGCCATCAGCCGGTCAGTCATCTAGCCTGGCCAATACCTGGACACAGACTGACTGTGTAGGGTACCACATGAGTGGTACGAAGCAGGTGGGGTGAGGAGGGAGTAGAGGGCCAATCACGGACAAAGCCTAAATCAAACCTTACCCCCTTCAGCAATGTCCAGAATTAGTGGCCCCAAATCAGTCACCTGCTCCAGACCGATCAGGAGGGAAATGGGCAGGGGGGGAGACGGTTCAGATGATGGGGATGAGCTCGGTGGCACCTACTCGTCAGCCAGCAAGGCCACAGGCTGACAGCCACAGAGAGAGGGCAGGAGACCCCTGTCCCTGCGCCTGGAAGCTCTGTCTGGTTCCCCCCAGGGCCCTTCCCAGCCAAGGGAGGTAGGGGACACTGAAAGGAGGGCATGTCCCGCATTCACTGGCCTTCTCCTTTTCCCCTCCTTTCTTCCCTCCCTTTTCCTCCTCCACTCCCTCCTCACTCCCACCCACTCTGCCCATATAAATTCCCAGTCCTGCCCAGCCCCTCAACTCCTGCCTGGGCGTCCTGCAGTGCCATCATCTCCTCCCCCAGAATATACACACACCACACACCACTCACACATGGGCACACCCACCACACACCCCAAACACCACTCACACACGTGCACACCCCCTCATCTACACCACACAGCACCTACACGTGCACGCCCCCACACACCATACACACCACCCAGCACTCACACACAATCACCCCCCCACACACACACACACGCACACGTGCACGCACTTATACCACACCACGCTTATACCCCCACCCCCCTTGATTCTTGGCTTAGCCTCCTCATTTCAGAACATCCTGTTCCAAGCAGTCTGGGAGAAAGCACTCAAACCCCCTTAGGCCCACCCTCCCCTCTGCTCTCCACTTTCCCACCGTCACTGGCCCTGGATCAGTGTCCTGGATGTGGACTCTCTGCAGCAGCTCCTCCTCCTCTAAGCTCCCCCGAAAGAGTGAGATGATCAGGGAGCCAGGGAAGGGAGGGGTTTTGCTCGCTTAGTTCCTGTGCCCTGGGCTCAGCTCTTTCCCTGGAGCCAGGCAGGCTCCCCAGGCCTTCTCGTTACCCAGGCAGACACTGGCTGGAGGCCAACCAGGAGAGTCAGCCAGGAGTTCTAAGCCGGAGGGGAGAACTGCTCATCTCAGAGAGACTGAGGCTGCGTTCTGCTGCAGTGGGGCTTGCCCTTGGCAGGGGGGCTTTCTGGACCCCTTTCCAGCACCTGGGCTCAAGCACTTACTGGCTGGTGACCACACTGGGCACATCTGTTACGGCTGGGGAGCCTCAGCTCTCTCATCTTTAAGATAGAGATGTTAAGAGACACACCTGCTTGGGTCTGAGGGGGATGAAATGAAGAACAAATGGCGTGGACAATGCTCGGGGAGGCATCTGGTACCTCCAGTCTTGGGGCTAATTTGTTCCAACCATGCAAATTGGTGGCCAGGCCAAAGGGGCCCCTGAGGCTTCTTTCTGTGTCCTTCTCTCACCTAGTCCCATGACTATCTGCCCCCTCACAGCTTCTTGTCACTAAGGGCTCCTAAGTGCCCCATACCCGGCTAGGAGCTCTCTTGACATTGTCACCCTTCACTTTCACAGCAGCCCCAGGAAGTCAGTGCCCTTGATACCCCCATTTCATAGAGGGAGAAACTGAGGTTCTGGGAGTCAGAGTAATTTGCCCAAAGCAGCAAAGCCAGAACTGGCTGACTCCTCAGGTCCATAGGGTGAAACCATGTGTGACTCTTGTCCCTGTACCCCCACATTCCATGTGGTCTCTCCTCTGGGGGAAGCCTTGGCTTCCCTTTCTTCCTGTCTCTCTTTCACACTTACTGCTTGCTCCTGTCTCTGAGACTCTGCTTGTTGGCCTTTAACATTTGTCCTCCCCTCTTCTTTAGAACCTGAACTTCAAAATATTAAGGAGACCCACGACCCCGTGGCATAAAAATGACATTCCTCAGCCTTCCTTGCTGCTGGGAGTGGCCTTATGTCTGTTATGGCAGATGGAACTTAAAACCAGGGCTCCTCTTCTTTGAATTGGAAAAAATCGCCTCCTCTGAGCAGCTGCAGTTCTGTGCCCAGGATTTGGCTGGCAAGTGGGTGGCAGATCTGTGTCAACTAGAAAACAGAGCTCCGTGGAGAAGGCACAGACCTTGGGAACAGAGTGTGGACTGGGGTTTGGGCTCCACTCACCCACACAGAAAACAAGGCTGGAGCTGCAAGGTCTGGGGATGTGGCCCCATCAGCAGCGGCGGGAAGAGCAGGGCATGGGCTGGGTGGAGCCTCTGACCCCGGGCGGATGTGCGGCTTGAGTCCCCAGAGCCACTCTCTTGGGTCCTGTGACTGTCCCAAGTGCACTTCCCTTCCCTCTCTTTCCCCTACCCCGCTCTCCCTGCAGGTCTACCTGCCCTGCTCCCCCGCCTGGCCCTTCCCTGCAGCTCCCTCCTCTTCTCCCCTCCTCAGCCTGGGGTCTCTTTAGGTCTCTGTCTGTTTCTCCCTCTGGCCTCTGCTCCCAGCCCTTCCTCCTACTTCCTTTCTTCTTCCTCTGGTAAATCTGCAGCCCTGAATCCAGATTTGAAAGAGCTGCCTTCTGTCTGTCTGTTCTTCAAGATAACCTAAACCCAGCTGCAGGCCCCAGCCCGCCAAGCTGTTGGGCTGTTCCTGTCCCATAGGCCTTGTAGGCAGAATAGAACTTCCAGGCTCTCCTGCCACCCACAATGCCCCCTCAGAGGACGCTATGGCCCATTCCCTGAAGTCTCCCAGGGCTGCTCTTTGTAAGCCACAGCTTTGGTATCAGGGCCCAGGGTCCATTCTCCTTAGGGATACTACAAGGTGGCCATCCCCCTCAGCCCAGGCCTAGCCACCTCCTGGGCAGGGTGGGGGGGCACTGCATGTCCTCAGACTCCATTACCTTCCTAAGAAATTTTTCCTTCCTCCTTCCTTTGGGAACCTTGACTAATCTCGATTCCACAGCAGCTCTAAGAGGGGCTGAACCCGACCCCTGTGGGAGCTCCAGCCGGCCGGGCTGCCCACTGAGACAGCTGACAAGCCTGGGTGGTTATCCTGATGGAAACACCTGTGAACAAGGGACAGCTCTCCTTCCTTCTCAGTCTCAACCAGCAGCAAAGACAAAGCAAGCGCCCTGAGAGGACATCTCAGGTGGACAGTCCCCCACTCACTGTCTTGTCTGTGCACCCAAGGCCCCTCTTTTCATACCTTTAATCACCGCTCAGGCCTCACCTGTGTCCTCACAAGGTGTTTCCATCAGGATAACCACCTGGGCTTCTAGGCTCCCTGCCCCCAGCTCTTCCCACCGCAGCTTACAGGTGCAGAGTTGTAGGCTGTGAAGATAGCTCAAGCTTCTCGGAAGAGTCTGCCAGGTTTGGGGGTGGGGTGAGGAGGTGTTTTCCTTGTCCCACTTACTTCTGGCTTGGGGCTTTTTCTCTATCTCCCAGTAGTTACCTGATAGGATGTCTGTTGACAATGGCTGCTAACTTTGGCTTGGGGAATAGTTGAGTGCCTATCAGTGAGGTGGAGGGCACCCCATGGGTAGGGGTTGAGGGTGGGGATGCCTCAGCCTGGGGACGCCCCAGGGACACTTCAGAGACTCTGGTTTGACTGAGGAATTTGGATCAGAAAGGAATGAAAGGAAAGACTTTGGTGGCTCAGTGCCTGTAGCTCAAGCGTCTAAGGCACCAGCCATATACACGAGAGCTGGCGGGTTTGAATCCAGCCCAGGCCTGCCAAACAACAATGACAACTACAACCAAAAAATAGCTGGGTGTTGTGGCAGGTGCCTGTAGTCCCAGCTACTTGGGAGGCTGAGGCAAGAGAATCGCTTAAGCCCAAGAGATGGAGGTTGCTGTGAGCTGTGACGCCACAGCACTCTACCCAGGACAACAGCTTTAAAAAAAAAAAAAAAAGAAATAAAGGAAAGACTTTGGGAGACAAACCTTTGCGTTACTGGTCAGAGACGATTCACCTTCCACACACATATACATATACATAAAAATACAAACACGCCTACACACCCTCCCAATCTCCTTCATTCATCAGCAAGTACTCAGTTACCCTCTGTCATCTTTACAAACACGCACACACGCCTCCCCAGACATAAGCCCTTTCCCTTTTACATTGCTTTATTGTCTTGCTTCTCAGAACTGTTGAGGCCCTGCATAGGGTAGGCTGGAATCTGATACTCAGACTTACCTATTTTCATCACTGATCCACTTCAGTAAGAGCAGATCTCGGAGATAACCAGAATCTTAGTAACAGCACTTTAGGGGAGCTGGGCTCCACAGGAGGTGGGGGAGTGTGTCTTAATCTAGACACTCTTCTCATTAAAGGATCCACTCAGCGCCTCTTGAGATGGAGATGAGAGGACTCCAGCTTGGGGACACCTTGTAGGAGAGAGATCCCTGTGAGGGACACCCAGAGGACCTTCCAGAAACCCTTTCCCCTGACTTTTCAGCATCTCCCACAACCCCCAGGCAGCTATGTGAAGGCCTCTCTTTATTTGGAATCAACTTGGCAGTAATGACACATTCTGAAAGGCTGCAGCGTGGAAGTCAGTAGCAGAAGCCCTTAATTCCCAGACCCAAGGGGGCTTCACATGACAGTTCCTCTCCTGCTGAGCACAAACCCACCATCTCTCTCCCTTCCAACCTCCAAGGAGGAGGGCCAGGCCACAGTGTGAAATGCTCTTAGAGGCATCCTGCTGCGGTGACAAGGCTCAGAAGAAAAAGGCAGATGGCTCCCCACTGCCCTGGGATGACATCCAAGTAGCCTGCCTGCTAGATTAACAAAGGCCATACTCATCCTTCCTCTAGGCACAGCTCCAGCCATGCCCTTGCCACATATGCCACTCCAGCTCCTGTGAGCTTCTGCAGTCCTTAGATCAGGCCTCCTGGCACCCCAGGCTGCTCCCTCTCCCGAGAATATGCCTCCCTCCCATCATCTCGTAGCTAACTCCTGTGCATCCTTCAGGACGTAGATGTCACTTCCTCCAGGAAGCCTTCCCAGGATGCCTCAGGATAGGGGCCCTAGAGCATAATTGTCAGGAGTTCAGGTACACTTGGGTTAGAATCCTACCTACTGGCTTTATCAGTTTCCCAGGGCTTTCGTGGAGGCTGTCATAAACTGGGTGGCTCAAACAACTGAAACTTATTGTCTTACAGTTCTGGAGACTGGAACTCAGAAATGAAGGTGTCAGAAGAGCTGGTTCCTCCTGAGGGCTGTGAGGGGGTCTCTCTCCTGGCTTCGCATAGCTCTGGCATTTGGCTTGTAGCTGGCGTTCTTCCTGGTCTTCCTCTTGCTTTCCCTCTGTGCAGGTCTGCCTCTGTGTCCATTTTCCCTTTTTATAAGGATGCCAGTCATATTGGATTGGGCCCACTTGAAAGATTTTACATTAACTTGATTATTTCTGTAAGAGCGTCTCTCCAAAAATGGTCACATTTTGAACTCCTAGGGGTTAGGAGTTCAACATAGCTTTTGGGGAGGACACAGTTAAACCCTGAACCTTGAGTGTATTATTTAACTTCTCTGAGCCCTGCTTTCCTTATCTTGAAGAAGAGTTGAATGAGGATTGTGAAAGGAAGAATTGCCCCCAGGATGTTGGGTGGTGACTTTGGTTCAAGGCTTGATTCACTGACCAGCTGCGTGATCTTGGGCAAGTAACTTAACCTCTCTGAATCAGTATCTCTTACTGCAAACAGCCCCCTGACCCCAAGCTCAGTAGCTTAAAGCAACATCATATATTGCACTCATAAGTCTATAATTTGGGCAGGGCACAGTGGGGAGAGCTTTTCTCAGTTCCATGGGACAGAAACTGAAGCAGTTCCACTGGACAGGAGGCTACGCTTCCAAGATGGCTCATTCACTAGCAAGTAGGACTGACTGTCAGTTGAGAGCTTGGCCTGGGGCTGCGGGTCAGGCACTTTGGATCTTCCTCATGTGAGTCTGTCCCATGGGACTGCTTGGGCTTCCTCGCAGCATGATGGCTGGGTTCCAAAAGTGAGGATCCCGAGAGAGCCAGGCAGAAGTTGCACCCTCTTTTATGACCCAGTTTTGGAAGTCACATAGTGTCATTTCACCCACAGTCTCAAGCCTGCCCAGATTCCAGGAGACACCCCGTGCTCTTAATGAGAGGAGGGTCAAGGTCATGTATTTTGGAAAACACATTTTGCCCACCCTTTATCGTCCTGAGCATCAGGAGTTACGACTTAGGCTGAGCCTTTACAAACATTATTTCTCATTTAATCCCTGTAAAACCCCCCTGCTGCTGATGCTCTTATCTCATTTCACAGATGAGGAAATTGAGGTTCAGAGAGGAGACTTGTCCAAGACCACCCAGCTAGGCAGTGACAGGGTCAGCCTGTCTTTGCTTCCAGAGCCTTCTGGTACTCAGACAGACATTACTAGTCACTGCCGTCTGCAGTTCCTGTTCACCCCTCCTGCTATTCACCCTTCCTCTCCCCAACTGCTCAATTCCCTGCCTAAAAGGAGGCTATTAATAGTGACTGTCCTGGGCCATTGTGGGTAGGAGAGAAGAGAAGGCACATGGAGGTCTCAGCGCAGGGTCTGGCACGTGGACAGTCTCAGTAAAGGTCTGTTGTCTTCTTATCCATTGCCTCCCTGATGCCTGAGATGGAGCTAATGTCAGAGGCTTGGCACATGGAGTTGACACATGGCTCCATAAATGTTTGTTGACTGAATGACAATTCTCATTTTCTAGAGAGGAAAACTAACTTTTTATGCTCACACAGTGGCATGGTAGGCCTGTAGTGTAGATGAATGAATGAATGAGCAAATGAATGAACAACTGAAAGTTCTCTGGATTAGGCTGGATTCCCTCAGGAGCAGACTCTGAGGCAAAGATTCAAGGACAAGGAGTTTATGCGGGGGTGACCCTAGGTGGCACTGGTAGGGGGTGGGGAAAGGAGAGAAGGAAGGAAGCATGTGTGTTAGTAAGCAGTTACTGGTGTAGGCACCTGGGACTCAGTTCCACTGGGGACCCTGGAAGACAGCAAGGAACTTGACTTGGAACACCCCACTGAGGTGTGCGGAGGCTGGGTAGTTAACTTCCAACTTGCACATGTCAGCTCCTCCTGGCTATGCTGACTGCAGTTCTCCCCATGGCTGAGCGCGCCCCTGGGCAGAGCGCATCCATGACTTGCCTGAGAAGCCTCTGGGTGTCAGGGAGCAGCGAGGGCAGAGGGAGTGTAGGCAAGCCACCAATAGACTCACCTGGGGCTCTAACAGCTCTCTGCTTCTGGCTGTTCTTCGAAGGCAAAGCATGATTCTGAAAACAATCTGCCTGCAACCCTTCTTCCTCCAAAGGGCCCTTGTTCCCGCAGGACTCCAGCCTCTGTCTGGAGCACCTTCCCTACCAGCACCTTCTCCAGTATCCTCTCCCCCTCCATAGCAAGGTATCCTACTGGGAGAGCAAGCAGAAACCCTGCAGAGTGGGAGTGGGCTGGGGAATTGCTGGGCAGGGCTGGGGAGAAGCTGCTTCACATGAGGCCACCACTTAAAGCATTTTTGGCTAAGAGCAAGGAGGGTGTTCTTCATATAGGTGTCCAGAGGCCACTGGCCTGTTGTTTGCCTGCTTCATTCCTCGGTGCAATCCCAGGCTGGCCTCTGAGTCCTTGGAGAATAGGGCTTCAGGTGGGATAAAGGGGCATGCTGACTGCCTAGTGCAGTCTGGGACTTGTCATTCACTCTAGACTTGCAGTTAGGCTTGGGCACTGCTCTTGGCTGTGCCACTTTCTGGCCACTTCTTTGGACAAGTCTCCAATTTCCTTGTTCTGCATCTGTAAAATGGGGAACACTTTTTTTCTTTTTTTGAGACAGAGTCTTACTCTATTGCCCTGGGATTGAGTGCCATGGCATCATCATAGCTCACAACAACTTCAAACTCTTGGGCTCAAGTGATCCTCCTGCCTCAGCCTCCCAGGTAGCTGGGACTACAGGTGCCCACCACAACACCTGGCTAGTATTTTATTTTATTTTATTTTTGAGACAGAGTCTCACTATGTCACCCTCAGTAGAATGCCTTGGCTTCACAGCTCACAGCAACCTCAAACTCTTGGGCTTAAGCAATTCCCTTGCTTTAGCCTCCCAAGTAGCTGGGACTACAGGTGTCCACCACAACGCCCAGCTATTTTTTTGTTGCAGTTGCCATTGTTTTAGCTGGCCTGGGCCAGGTTTGAACCCGCCAGCCTTGGTGTATGTGGCTACAGCCTATCCACTGAACTACGGGCGCTACGCTAGTTTTGGGGTCTTGCTCTTGATTAGGCTGGTCTTGAACTCCTGAGCTCAAGGAATCCTCCTATTTCAGTCTCCCAGGGTTCTAGGATTATAGGCATGAGCCACAATTCTTAATCCCAATTTCACAGGGCCCGCATGAATGTGACATTAGATATGGCTACATCTAGTAAATGATAGAGTGTTTCCTCAACGTCAGTCTCAAACCTGGGGCTTCTCTGGGTAGTTCTTGGAGGATTTGAATCTTTGAAGATCCTGGTAGTTACACATGTTGTTGGGTTGGATGCTGCCTTGGCATTGGGCACAACTGAGGACTCTCTTCAGACATTCCAGGCAGTGAGCACTGATGGAGTGGGGCTGGAGAGGAGAGGAGGGGTCTGGCAAATGCAGCACGAAGCAGCTGCATAAGCTACATAAGACACTCCCTTGGGAAACCTAATACATCTAGGGAAAAGTGGAAGGGAATGAAACGTACCAAGTGGTGCAAGATGCCAGAGGCAGAGACCCAAAGCTTTAGCCATCTTTGCATCAGTGACAATAAGTAGCCTCGGCCTAGCATCTATCATGCACCTGGCACTGGGCTGAGTGATTGCCACAAAAGATGACATTTTGGCCGGGCACAGGGGCTCACCCCTGTAATCCTGGCATTCTGGGAGGTCAAGGCAGGAAGCTTGATTGCTTGAGCTTAGGAGTTCAAGACCAGCCTGAGAAAGAGCAAGTCCCTATCTCTACCTAAAATAGAAAACTCAGCCAGCATTGGTGGCAGGCACCGGTGGTCCCAGCTACTTGGGAGGCTGAGGCAGGAGGATTGCTTGAGTCTAGGAGCTTGAGGTTGCAGTGAGCTATGATGATGCCACTGTACTCTGGCCAGGGTGACAGAGCCAAAACTTATCTTAAAAAAACTGATATTATTATCTTCATTTTGTAGTTGGGGGAACTGGGGCCATTCTTCGGAATGTGCA